GACAAATTGCGTCTTTCCTATTTGGCTCACTATGTGATGACAGTTTCTTTAAAATATGGTTTTAAAATCGTGTCCAAGGTGTATCTGTAGCTTCCTCCAATTCACTTAAAATTGTTAGTTCGTCCATACAATGGTGCCGTGGCTTCCATCATGATTATTGATCTTCATTGGCCAAATTCAATAAAATCAAATGATGACAGAGTGACCAATTGGAAGCGATTCAGTTATTGCTGTAGGAGAGAACTCATGTTCAGTTTAACTGGTAAAAATGAATGCGCCAGTTGGTTGTGAAGTGTCCTGAGGCCCAGCTATTACAATATCCACAGGTACAGTACGGAGTACAAACAATTCAGTCAAAACGACAAACTCGAATGAAATATAACCGTATTAAATGCCACAATCATACACAACGAAGACAGGTGAAACTCGGGCAACGATACATAATTCTTAGGCCAGTCCATTTAGTTGTCCGTTTAGCACAATAAAATGGCTTGGTTCTCGACAAGGAAATGAAGACATGACGTTCAACAGGAGCTTTGGCGGAATCATTTAGTTGATTTCATTCTTGAATGATGAGATCTGACCATTGCAACTTGTTTTAAACAAACCTTCAAACAAGTTAGGTCAAACACAACTTATTTTATGTATGTAAATACAAACGGACAATTATAAATAACGTCAACGTACAAAAGTAACCGGAAAACTCAAGCGTTGGATATTCCTTACCGGGTCATAGTCCATCTTGTGGCAAAAAGAACAGCTTTCGCCAAAAACAACCGCTCGATTTCCTTCGAAGTTGACACCGTTCGTATATGCGTTTATTCTTCACCGGGAGAATTTCTACACGAGAGAACAGTACGCTTCCCCTTGTCGAACTTCCTGGTTGTGTTTTTTTTTTTGCCCTCTCACTTCAAACCTCATTCCTTGTCCCGGGTGTCAGGTTGGCCACATTAGTCACTGAATGACACCGGCTGCTTGTGTGTTCGCTCGCTGTTCGTAGGAGAAAAGAAGCAACACGGCACGGTTTAGTGTATTTGCTCCCCGATCGAAGAAATAATCGAAATTATTTTGTTTCCCCAATTCTGTTTATCTGAATGTAACGTTACTTATTGGTATTTCATTCGCACTTTCCTGTCATCGATGAACCAATACTCTGACCTGCTTACACCTCTACGTTCTTTTGTTTTTCTAAAGTAATATAAATACATTTACCCAGGAAGCAAGTACAACGATCATTTTTATTATGAAGGCCTTGTTTTGCCTGTATTGACGTCAGTGGTACGACCCGATGACCTCACGGAGGCGTTTCCACCGTTTGTTGTGACTATCATGAGGCAAATAAATTTCAAGTTATGTACCTTTCTTTACTTACATGAAATACAAGGTGTGCCTAAAATATGGACACAGAAATTCAGATTTTAAGTTTAAACATGATCTTCAGGGTTTGTGATGCAAATGTTGATGCACTACCTGAATTATTTTTTTAGGATGACCCTGCATTCAATAAAAGCATCTGATGCACCTGATGCCTCAAATTAGTTCAAAATATTAGGGCAAAAAAATGAGGAACAAAATCTGACTGAATATGCTAAGAAACCATTTTTTCAACTGTGCTTCTGGGGGGCCACATTGGACTTCCTCACCAGATGTATGCCAAAAATACTATTTTAAATGTGGATAAAATATGTGCAAAATGTATGCTCTTAATATATTGTTCTGAATATATTTAATTTTTGATCATACATTTTCAATGCACATATAAAAGATCCACTGTCCTTACCCAACAACAAAGGGTGTGAAAAAACAAAATAACCACAGATTGTAATTTTTTTTTCCAGTGCAAAGGGCTCTTGCATCAAAAAAATACAATTCAAGGGTGGCACAAAACTAATTTTGTGCAAGAACTGATTTTGTACATTTTTTTTTCCACAAAGATCACTCACATTTTTATATTATTGAATTATTTGTTCTGCATGTCATCCCAAATCCACAAAAATACACTAGGCCTACTCATGTTATAGAATATATAATATAGTGCAGTATAAGACCCAGTGTACATGCAATTAACCAGGTGTAGTGGTGATTACCGGTCCGAGTGATATTTTTTCACATTTTGGGTTTTCCCGTTTTTTTTCCTGGCATTTGTCCCTCTATTTCGTTTCCACTTTTTTCATGCAAAACATACCAGTATATTGCATGTTTATCAGCATTATATGTAAAAATAACTGACCACCAGTTTGCCCATCCCCGCCTTGGATTATTAACAATGCCAGCACAGGACATCCCTACAGTGAATGAGATTGTGTTTGCAGTAATGTCATATTTTGCAGATCCAACCAATGTCGACATTGATCTATCGGCAAATTATGACATTACAAATGATCACCAATCCTGCATAAACTGCAATATATCTGCCAATCTGATCAGTTTTGTGTAAAATCTTATCTAGATTAGACAAAATGAATATCCAGTGCCGTTGTTTGAGAGGTCAAACACTTTATATGCGGTTTTTGTTGGAGACGTGACAGGGAGGGTTTATCATTCAAAATTCAACGTGGGTGGACACATTTAATGAGATAAATTAACAAAAACAAATTAAAGTAACCCTATTTTAATTAAACAGTTTTAACAAAATGCAGAGATGAAAGTGGACTTTTCTGAAAATTCCGGAAAAAATAAATAAATAAATAAATGTGTGTGTGTGTGTGTGTGTGTGTGTGTGTACACACACACACACA